CATTTGGGTATTTTTAATTCGAAACGCTGAAGCCGCCTCCTGCCGTCAACCTGATTTACTTTTCCGTAGCGGGGCTGCATTTCACCCCGGAAAGATTTTCTAAAGAATTTCCCACTGTCTTCATTATGTGTTGCATTAATGGATCTGTCCCATTTGGCACTGTGAGCCCTTTTAATCTGAGATGTTACATCTTTCTCCAGTTCTCACGTCTTCAAAAACTAGTTATTTTGCCATTCCCACCCCCTGTTTACTGATCATTTCTTTCTTCTTGGAACCTTCACGTGTGGCCGCTAAGGCTGGAATTTTCTGTCTTTATCCTTTCTTGATCGCGTCTCGGCCTTTTGGCTAAGATCAAGCCTATCATTTCTCGAAACGTCTCGGAGACTTCTGGAGCCTGGTCGTAGAGCTCACTGTGACAGGTGCCGCCGTGTCCACTGAGTCCTCATCTCTCCTTTTATGTTCACACACACGCTGTATCTCTGCTGGTTTTTCTTTATGCCTGTTAATTCTGGCTTCATGTTATTAATACCACTCTTTGCCTCTGTGAAGACACTATGATTTTTTCGTGTGGCACAGATCGTCAGTTTGTCCCTCTCCATGCTTTTGCTCTTTAGGTGTCTTATTTTCCCCTTGTTAGTACATCCCCTAAACCTGTGTGTGCGTGCGTGTGTGTGAGTACCTGTGTGTGCGTGAGTACCTGTGTGTGCGTGAGCATACATGTGTGTGTTTTTGCAAATGCATGCGTGCGTGTAGATATTTGGGGGGAACAGTTAATTGTCATGTAATGGCTTCTTGTGGACGATGGTCACACACACACATGTGTTACCCCGTGGCCCTGGCTTCTCACAGATTTCGAGCTGGGCTCTTAGACTTGCCAAGCCCCCCTCCTTGGCATCTCCAGGCCAGGTTCGTGGAAGGACAGGAGCCTCTATCAGGTGCCGGTCTTGTGGTCGGGGTCTTGGGGGTCTCTTCTAGAAATGCATGTCTTCACTCCACGTTGCGGTCCTCAGCAGCTCCTCTTCATTGGTGCCTGCATCCTGCTCCTGCTCCTGACTCTGTCGGTGCTTCTCCATGTCCTTCTCCATGCGTGGCCAGCCATGGCTAGCTGCCTTCCTCCCCATGAACCCAGGATCCACGCTCCCCTCCTGCCTCAGGGAAGAGTCCCTGGATTTTATCCAGGCTCACCACCACCCAGAAGAGACACCACCCCTGCCCCCTCAGCTGGGTTTGGCCATGTGACATGCCTGGCCAAGGGGAGGTAGCTAAAGGTACCAAGGACTCTTTTTGGGATGGTCCTTCCAGGTCAAGGCCTGCCTGTCTCCTGCCCTTTTTTCCTTCCTATGGTCTGAATGTGATCAGACAGCTGGAATGAGGGCAGGTGCGCTGTGTCAAGTGGAAGCTGTGTGGGGGACACAGACCGTAGCTGGAAGGACACGTGGCAGCCCTCGCCACTCCCTGCACCTCTGAGAGCACGAGAACCAACTCCCATCTCGCCAGAGCCGCTGCTGTTCTTACTGTCGCCTGTAGCCACATCTAGTCCTATAGGATGCATTCAGTCATTCTGTTGGAGGTGATGATGTGTTCAGCCAGAACCTCTATTTTCCGGGCAAGGAGAGTGCAGTCTTTGTCGCTGGACACAAGCAGAAGTCTCCCAAGTGAGACTCACATTAACACTATGGTTTTTCTGAATATAGAAAATGTGACTTGGCCAGCACGACCCCTGCCCCTTCCCCCAAGAGGGCTGTGGTTTCTGGAGCAGCAGCAGCCGTCTTGTGGTAAAGGATAGCAGCCACATGCTGAGGATGGTCAAACAGCCTGAGTCCCTACAAGTGTCCATTTCAGCCCTCAGGACTTTATGTTTGATAGCAAAATCCTATTTGGTTGAGCCACTGCAGTCAGGTGCATTTAACTAAATGCAGCTAAACACAAGTCCTCGCAAATGCATGCTTCCTAAATGTCTGTTTTCCACTATTTAAGAATTTTTGAGGTGGAGTCTGCTGTGGATTGAATGTCCCCCCAAAACCCACTGAAGCTTAACCCCCTTTGTAACTGTGCTAAAAGGGCGGGAAGTCCTATGGTATTTGAAAGGTGGGGCCTTTAAGAGGTGATTGGATCATGAGGACTGTGCCCTGGTGAAGGGATTGATCCATTCATGGAGTGATGGGTGTCGTTCCGATGGCTTTATATATAAGGAGGGCGAGTGAGCAGGTCAGCTCTCTCTTGCTCAGCCCATTTCTCTTGCCATGTGACACTCTGCATCACTACAGAGTCACCACCAACAAGAAGGCCTTCACCAGATGTTCCCCAGACTTTAGACTTCCCAGTCTCCAAACTGTAAGAAATAAATTTTGTTTCTTTATAAATTACCCAGTTTCAGGTATTCTGTTATAAGTAACAGAAAACAGACTAATACGAAACATTGGTACCAAGAAGTGGAGGTGTTGCTCATAATTAAAATCTGAAAATGTGGAAGCGGCTTTGGAACTGGGTGATGGTCAGAGGCTGGAAGAATTTGGAGGAGCAGGTTAGAGAAAGCCTAGACTCTAGTGAGGGCCTGGAAGACAAGAAGACCAGGGAAAGTTTGGAACGTCTTGGAGACTGGCTAACTGGTGGTGACCAGAATGCTGATAGAAAAATGGACAGTAAGGGCCATTCTGAGGAGGTCTCAGATGGAAATGAGGAAGAGCTTATTGGAAACTGGGACAAAGATCATCCTTGTAATTAACTAGCAAAGCACTTGACTGAATTGTGTCCATTCTGGAGGGCTTTATAGAACATGGAACTTAAAAGTGATGAGCCAGGGTATTTGGTAGAAGAAATTTCTAAGCAGCAAAGCATTCAGGCAGCTGTGTGGATACTTGCAACAGCCTGTGCTGAGTTATGGCAGAAAAGGCATGAAGTAAAGTCAGAATTTGTAAGTCAAAAGAAAGCAGAGGGCAAAATATTGTAAAATTCTCAGCTTGGCCACGTAGAGTGAAAAAACATTCTCAGCAGAGGAAACCAATGGTGTATCCCAGTGACTGTTTGCTAAGGAGATTAGTACAGAAGGAAGGGATTATCAAGAGAATGGAAGAAAGACCCTAAAGACATTTCAGAGATCTTCGAGGCTGCACTCCCATCGTGGGCCCACAGACCTAGGGAGAAAGAATGGCCTTGGGGAACAGGCCTGAGGCACCCTCCATGGGCTCACTGTCCAGGGCCACTTTGGGAAGCTGCTTCCCTCACCCTGGCTGCTCCAGCAGTAGTTAAATTGGCCACAGGTGCTGCAGGACCTGCAGCTTTGGAAGATACAAGCTGTAAGCCTTGGCAGCGTCCTCATGATGTTAGGTCTGCAGGCTCACAGAATGCCAGAGCTATGGAGGCTTGGGAGCCTCCATCCCAATTTCACTGTATGTATGGAAAAGCCTGGGGGCCCAGGAAGAGATCTGTCACAGGGGCAGAGTCACTGCATAGAGCCTTCAGTAGAGCAATGCCGGCAGAAATGTGGGGTTGGAGTTGCAGCAGAACACCCCCATCAAGGCCATGCCTAGGGGAGCCATGGGAGTGGGACCACCCTGGCTACCCCATGAATTGTAGAGCAACCAGTGTGCAACACCAGCCTGCAAGAGCTGAAGCATGGCCTGAGACCAGGATAGCCACAGGAGCAGAGCTGCCCCGGGACTTGGGGACCCAACCTCTGCACCAGCATGTAGAGGATGCCAGACTTAGAGTTAAGGTGGATGATTTACCAGCTTTGAGATTTGATGCCTGCCCTGCTGGGTTTTGGACTTGTTTGGGACATGTTACCCTTGTTTTTTGGCTTATTTCTTCATCTAGGCATGAGAATTTCAGTCTTACGCCTGTCCCACCAGTGCATCTTGTGCAGATGGCCTCACCCCAAGCTCTTCTGTGAGTAAGAGGGGGCGGGGAGGGGCATCACCAGGAATCCAGCGCTCCGCCTGCAGAAGCACGCAGGCTGCGGGGAGTACAAGCCTGGCTCGGTCTTCAGGGGGGCATGCAGGCTGCGGGGAGTACAAGCCTGGCTCGGTCTTCAGGGGCTCCTGGGCAGATGTGGCTGAGTCTACCAGTGCCTGGGCCAGTCAGAGGGCTGCTGGGAGATTCACAGGTTGGCAGGGACCTTGCGGCATGGCTGGGTGCTCCGGGCAGCTGCCTTCATATAAAACAGGGAGCCAAGCAGGTGTGGGGTGTTCCTGGGGGCTGCTCCACTGCACAGACTGGCTGGGGAGGGTGAGGAGACTTAGGGGCCTGTCCCCAAGCTGTCTGATACCACCCAGCCGCTGCTCTTGCTGTTCTATTTTAAGTGTTCTCTAATGTAAAATCAGTTTCCTAAAGACACTTGGACTTACGTTTGA